CCCATAGCGCTCTTACTTTTTGACAGACACACTGCCCAGACTGGGACAGATTTTGATCAAAATGCAAGTTTAGTATACACTTTTCACTTCATTGAGAGAGATGTCACCAAATGCTGCAACTCTAACTCCAAAATGTTGCCATATGTATTGATCACACGTATGATATGTAATCTGTGCTTGTGACAGTCAGGTTAGGTACGCTATTTGGACTGTAGTTTCAGACAGTGAGTGATCATTTCTAATATGCAATTCAGGGTTACGTCCAGTGGAGAAGTAACTAGAAAGTCCACTCTGCATTAAACCGCCAGACTTGGGCACGTGTTAAATAAAGGTATAAAATATGCCTCGACTTGACTGTTGCCCAGCTCTGCACAGGGGCACAAGGGGCAGTGTGAAGGGAAGTGCAAGGACCTTCCCACCCCATGCTCCCTTTACCTCTGAGCAGCATTAAGTACAAGCTTCTGCAAGAGGGGAGCCACTGCTCCCTTCTAGTGACCATGGATGCTAGCTTCCTGAAAGCCAGGACTTAGTATTCTCTCTCCCCACACTGAGCAGCAGAACTGACCAAGCATGGAAGAGTGGACACTTCACCTCTTGAAACAGAGGAGCTGCCATTCTGATGTAACACTCTGGGAACCAGCCAGAATTTCCCTACAGATGCCTGCTGCAGTGCAGCCTCTCTGCACCACTTCCAACACAGGCCATTACTTGAGTCACACTAGTAGCCTGATAGTTGTCAGAAATGCAAAGGTGGAAAATCCAACCACAGCCAGATCTGGACAAAAATCTGATGAAACTAAATGTGCAGTCTCTAGTCCCTAGTGCCAGTTTTGAGATGCTTCCAGGTCTTCTCCTGTTTGCTTTAAACACCAGCCATCCTACCAACTTCCCAGCTTTGACCCACAATGTCCAGAGATATACAAACTTACTCTGAACACGAGAAGATCAGAACAGAGTCCTTAGAAAGCACTGTGGCAACGCTCCACCCTACAGGCATTCGTTCTGTAACCCAGATACTGACAGAGGCACTGACTGATACCTAGCGAGTCACCTCCTCCCCGAGTTCAAAAACTGGATACAAACTTTCTTTGTGTCCATATACAGTTTTGGGAAGACACAGTCTAATTCAAAATATTTACTTCTGATTACTATAATGAGGCAGCTTTAATATAAGTATTTGGCTTCACTTGACATGCAACTAATTTGGAAAAGTGCCATTATCAGATATTTAAACTATTGACTGCATACATTCCAGGGTATTTACATATCTTCTGTTTCTTTATCTATTTATCTCTTTCCTTTTAATAAATAAAAATAACATCCTCCACTGGGACATTATAATATTAAAAAGTTGATATACTTGAGCATCTATTGGCATAATGGTCAGTCTACAATTACACATTTTTACAAAATGTTAGCATTTTTTGCCTTTCACTACAAAAATCTGATATCAGTATCATAAACCAGTGAAATAAAATTTCAACTGAGTTTGCTATTATTGATGAGAAATTTAATTATTCAGATATGCAAATATAGGAATAACTATCAATTTTTGCTTTCCATTCTAAGCAAAGTTTTACATTAGTCAATGTTCAGAGCCTGCAATAAGTGCGTTAACAGGGGTAGGTGATATACAATAATGAAATTTATTAGTGTGGTGTGGCGTTTATAGGGTATATGTACATATATGCAATTTCACAGCAGTTATTTTTCATAACAATTTATCTCAAGCCCAAGACGCATATGCATGATCATATAATTAACAGAGTATTTGTCAGTGTTTGTAAGTGTCCATAACAATATCATTTAGGCCTCTGTGCTCAAATATTATCAGATTTTTATCTCCCCAATCTTTTAATTTACTCTTGGTGCTTTAGGATGAATCACTTTTTATTTTTTTAACTTGAGCATTTTAAGTTCTTTTTCATATATGTATTGTAATACTGAGGCAAATGTAAAACAGATTTTAATTTTGTCTTAATATTATCTGGTGATCAATTTACAAGGTGTTATAGCCATAATCCTTGTTCCAAGAATTTTTAATAGCTATGTATTAAACTACACCTCTCTTTCCCTAAGTTCTGCACTTTCCTTATTCTTGATCATATGCAAGCAACAGATACATGTGATGTCACTTGAAGTTATCTCATTTTTCAGCATCTTACTCTTTTCTTTAGTCTACTCCAGTGGTCAGTCTTTTTTCATCTCCTAAACTTTAGTGCCACAAAGGCTATTTTGAAAAGGTGAGAACTAATCCAGTGTAGATGTTCTCCACTATTTCCTCAAAGTTTAGGTTCAACTATTTAAATTAGATTTTTAAAGTGTTAGTTTGAATTTTATTTAGTCATTCAAAGATGAAATCTTTACCCAAAACATTCTATCTGGTGGGAAAAGATAGTTATCCCTTGATCATCTATTACAGAAAGTATCATCTGCATTTTCTCTTTTTTCTTTGTAAAGCATGATTCTTGTTGTTTTCCTTTTTTTTCCAGTATGCACTCAGTAATAATTTTAATAACCTTATGAAACACATACAATGTGTACAACTTTGTGTTTCACAAGTATTCCACTTTCACATCTTTGAATATTATATAATACATTCATTTTCAAGCATTGCATTTCTCTGCTTCTGTGATTATAATCTATTTTGTGCATTGCTGAATATGATAAATATTTTATGTATTTCATCCTATTATCATTTTCTTTTCCTGCATGCCCTGTATGTTGCTTGCACTTATTTCAGTAGATGTCAGCTTACCTACGTTTCATGCTTTGCTTTTGTTATAGTAACGTATATGTGGTGATACCTTTTACTCTTCACAGCATTTATCGATTTGTATTTTCTTTGTTCAGAAATTATATTATTGTAGTTTGCATTTTATGTTATTAACTCCCTGTTGCCTACTTTAAAAAGTAAACTTAGAGTTATTACAGCTTCTCTGCCTCTTTTTTAATACATTTTTTCCCCCCAAGTTGTTATCCTGAAGTACTGTTTCTCCAATTTGGGTACATATTTTCATGCATCAATTAAACTTTTTCTTCTGCTTCTAATATAGCTTTTCTTTCTTTTACAGTGTGTCTAAACTTGTGCACTTTATCAATAAATGAGCTTAATTTTCCTGTTCTCTCATAGCTTGTGCAAACTTGTTGCTTTCAAGTCTATCAAGTCAGTATGGTCTTCCCCCAATGAATCATGGGAAAATTATCTATTTAGCTTTACATATACCCATTTATTTTGTGAATACTTTAACAGTTTCAGTAGTTTGCTATTCTTTGCATTTCACTGGGTGGGCTTTGGACCCTATTTTATAGACTGTAGATAGCTACAACTGTATTGCATTGCTTTTTGATGAGGGTTATATTATTTCAATGTATTGTAATTTTATTATAATATCTGTGATACAGGGTTGTTTAATTATGTCTATTTCTTATTTTGTTACATATGTCCATCACCATCATCCTTGCTGTAAAAGTGTACAGTAGTAGATTCTCATGCAAGTGACTATGGTTCTATGTACAACTTGAATAGGTACTCTGTTTAGTCCCACCTCCTGTCTCTGTACTGTGGTCTTTTAAAGTGTGGCTTGTCCATCTCTTCTATCTCGCATAATATAAAAGAGAATCTTTCTTTCCATTTGCATTGTTAGGTGTCTTGGTAGGTGAGTTCTGTTTCTTCTGTGGTATGCTTCCAACTGCAACTACTTCTGGGAAGAGCATATTTCTTGTTCACTTTTCCAGGGGTTGGGAAAACCTTGAGTAAAGTGAAGCAATATTAGAAGTCAGAGACAGAGCATTCCCCTTTACTCGCCTGGTAACTTGAGTAACTATATAGCCAGTAACTTCATTAATTATTATTTACAATTTGTTCCATGGCTCTTGTTAGGAACAAAAGCTTTTTCACTCGAGGTAGCAGAGAAATAAGGGTCCCCTGTCCCCCCCCCCCCCAGGGGGTCATCTACGCTGGACTCTGTCCAGCCCGATTTGTTATCTGCCTGCTCCTTGTGTGCACCATGCACCTGCTTTCCAGGCTGCAGCTCTCCACCCTGCCTCTTTACCGCCCCTCGCGAGGTCTGCTCAACGCTCCAGCCCTACGCACGCTTCCCCTGGCGAAGCCTCCGCCCACTGGCGGGTGCCCCTGCGGCTGACCGGCTTGGCAGCCGGCGCAGCCTCACCTGCACCACCCCGTCCCCTCTCCCCGGGGTTCCGGTGCGCAATCCCCCGGAGTCCCGTCCCTCGCCCCGGGTTGGCTACTTGGCACCAGGGCAGGGGAGGGAGGGGGGGTGCTCATTATTACGCACATCTTGGCAGGTTGCCTGGATATTGCTCAAATCCCCCCCCCCCGGCCCCCGATCTGGTTGCCTCCCCCCGCTCCGCGTCCTTCCTGCTGCGCAAGGAAGGTGGTTCGCAGGCGCGCCCGCTCCGCTCTGCCTGCGCCGCGCGCGGCCCCCTCTTATTCTGGCTATTGTGTCTAATCAACGCAGAGCCGTCTCACCCTAATCAAGCTGATTACAAATTCCTGCGCGCCCTAGGCCGGAAATCGCACCACTTTCCCTCTCTTCTCCCCCCCCCCCTTTCCCCAACCCTCTCCCCCACTCACCTCTTTGGGTCTCTGGTTTCCAAACCCCCCCCCCCCCATCCCGCTTCTCGCTCCGGTTCCCATTTCCACCCCTGCTCGCTGTCCTCCTCCTCCGCTCATCCTCCCTCCCTCCCTCCCTCCGTCTACTGCCGCCGCCTCCTCCTCCTCCTCCTCCGCCTCTGCCACTTTCTCTCTCTCTCTCTCAGGACGCGTCGGATGATCCGGGGCCGCCGGGGAAGGGCTCCGGGCAGCAGCAGGGAGGCTGCGTCCCCCCTTGTCTCGGGCTGAAAAAAGCCGGCTGGCCTCGGTGGTTGTTGTTGTATTAAAATGAGGAGGAGGAAGAAGAAGCCGCCGCCGCCGCGGCGGCGGCAGCAGCAGAAAGCGCTGGAGGAGAGGAGGCTCTGAGCAGGGGACGGCGGCGGCGGCAGCAGCAGGAGGAGGAGGAGGAGTGATGAGTCAACTAATAATTTAATGGGGACAGAAACACAGAGGGGGTTGGGGGGGGAGCAAAGCGAAGCAGCTTCGTCCGGGGACACACACACACACACACACACACACACACATGTAACATCCAGCCACAGCCACCAAACCGGCCTAAATAAATAGCGAGCCAGGGGGAAACAAGCATCAAAGCCAGGATTTTTTATTTTTTTTATTCTTTGCAACCTTTGTTTTTCCAGTTTTTCCTTTGCCATTTGCAGTAACTCTCCGTGGAGTTGTCCGGGTTTTTTTTTTTTTAATCACTCTTTTGTTCATTTTTATTTTGAAATAATCACACACACTCGTTGGTGGACTCGGTGGGAGTGAAATCTCTCTACTTTTGGTGGTGGTAGTGTCTTGTTGTGTGTGCGTTTCCTTCCTCCTCCTCCTCTCTCGCTCTCGCAACAGCCCCGGGTAAATGAGAAGAGACAGGTCCTCTCTTTATTTTGTTGTGTGTTTTCTTTGAACGGACCGGGAAGGCGAAATTAAAAGTGGCATTTTAGTGCCTTTTCCTGCTGTTTTCTCTACACCCCCCCCCCCACCCCCACTACAAATTCATGCAGAAAGTTTGGGGGCTGTTAGTGGTTTTGGGGGGAGAGGAGCAGATTGATTTTTGTGTGCGCGCTGTTCTTCTGTATGCTTGTTGGAGAATAATAGTATAAGTGACAGCCTAGAAGTAGACTTTCTGCTCTTCACCCTGGATAGAAAAGCTTCCTCTCTTTCCACCCCCCACTTGCTCTTGTCCGCATTGATATTATTTTTGAAAGAATAGCTAGACTCAAGTCACCCCCTCCATTTAAATCTACTACTTTCGTTTTTCAAATTTATTTTTAGCATTACACTTATCTGTTCAATTTTGAGATTCACTTCCTTCTTCCCTTTCAAAACCTTGAAAACTGCTTTCCTAAAAGATATTTAATATTTTTGTCCATTGCCGTTTTTGCTCATGGCTACTCTGTTTCTCGCCATTTATTTTTGCCCCTCCCCTGCATAGAGGAAAATAACAAAACAAAACAAAAAAAAGGAAAATAATAGAATTTCAGGGGAAGTAGCCTTCAGGACTGCTGGCTTTTGGAGGGGGGGGAGTGTAGGGTGGTTTTTGTTTTGTTTTTTGGGGGGGGTTAGGTTTTTTTTTTGTTTTTTTTTTTTTAAGGACTTAGACAACATCAGTCTTGAACTTCTTCCTCTTCAAGAGCTCGGGCTGCAAAGGAAACCTCCTTTGTTTTTGTTATTTATATGCTGTCAAGTTTTGAAGTGGTGAGTTTCGGGTCGGTTTTGCTAATTTCACTCAGAAAACTGCAGTGTTTCTGTTTCTAGATAGTACTTTGCTTCTTTGTCTCTTTAAAAGGTCACAGTGAAAGCTTGGCCTGGATTCTGACAGCCATATGGAATGGATAAGAGCAGCGCCCGTTTCAAATGTGATTATGGGGTTTTATTGGGGAGCGGGAAGAGGAGGGAAGATGAAAAGGGGAGGGGGCTAATTCATGAGGAGTTAAAGAAATAAAATAATACTGATTACAGGGACTATTACAATGAATTAATTAAGAAATTAGTTGGTGTGTCCATGTGTGATCTTTTTGAAACGGTACGTTGAAACTGAGACCTTATATAATGTCTAGGATGGAAACTTGTAGCTAGTGTAAAGGAGGTCTAAATATGAAACCCGAATCAACTCTCTGCCTGCATCTGTAGAGATAATAGTTACTCCAAAGTGCTGTCATTCTGGGCAGGCCATGCTGATCCTTGCTCATCGCTATTCCAAACTGAGGTTTCAGTGAACTTTAGCCTTGGGCATGGAGTTGAAATGAGTAAATTAGGTGTTTTATGTGCATGTAATTTTGCTTTGTAATGTAAAGCTTTTTACAAGATGACTAAGTGATTAAAGGATGCCTATGGGTGGGTATTCTAAGGCCAAATTAGAATGACCTATTTGGTGTTTTGGTAGCAATCCGTACACTAACTAGATTATGATCTATCATTGTATATGATGTACTATTCTATTCATGATGACTGGATACTTTTTTGTAGCAATAATCTTGGAGTTGTAATGTACTTTTTAAGTTGTGCCAGAAGTGACAGGGATTTTCTTCTGTAAGCCTTTTTTTAAGTGAATCCTCTTATTCTCAAGAATTTAGTTTCAGAATAGCAGCTTTATAATAAAGCAGCGTTGTAAGGAAACATTGGTAGATATCAATGATTTGAGTCTGCAGTTTTTGGTTAGACTGCAGTTAATGTAATGATAAAGTAACCTTGATTTTTTAAAAAAAAAAGTGGTTAAAATAGTCACATTTATTGTTTAATGAGACTCATAACCAAAAACAGATGGGACCACGATCAATGGTAAACCATCGGTTCTCAGCATGTCACCCTACAGCTTAAGGATAAATAACCATTATTTTCTAAACTTTACAGTTATTCAGTCGGCATTCTTTAGGTTGCTAGTAAACATCCAGATTAACACAGATTCTTTTTCTTGGCTATGTAGGATGAAGCAGCCTGTGTTCAAACAGGATAAATTGTTTACAGAATTATCTTTGTAATATATGATATCTCCCAAGAAATCCAGACCTAAATAGCTTTGCAATGAAAAATGTACAAAATGCGTTGAATTACTAGGTAACTGAAAGAAAGTAGCAATTATCAGATTCATGCAAGTCTTTCTAAATATGACTCCCCTAGTGTTAGTGTTTGTACTCAGTAATGTAAATACTAGTTCATAAATGAATGTCTAGTCACCTGTTCTTTGTGATTATATTATATACATAATATAATTGACAGCGTGACCATACCTTTCTCACTCAGAAAAAGGTGGTAGACCCTAATATAACTAGAATGGTAATCCAGAATAAAACCACTACCAGATAAGTATCTATTTTCAGTAACTGATTATTTTATAGTTGATAAAATAGGTTTCTCTCTGTATGTGTGTGTGTGTGTACGTATGTATGTATTTAACTAAAATCACAAACTTACTCTGTGTTTTAGTCTAGGGATTTTAATGATCCAGTCATTTAGCTGGAATGTGTTTGTTTTTAAAAAACAAGTTTTTGAAAAGAAATACAAACGTGCTAAAATACCCATTTTCTTAATTTGATATTGTTGAAATTTACTTCTATTTTTTTACTTCAGATACCTGTATCAACACAATTTTACACTGGCAGGGGTGTCTCTGTGTTGGAGGGTTTCTGAAGTTCCACAGGAATTGTGGTTTTTCAACATGAGACCCTTGTGATATTTAGAGATGTTTCAATCTTCTTTTAGTTTGTTTTGACTTTTTAAAAGATCCCATGTTTGACCTAACATTTAAAACTTGATTACATCTTAATTTTCATATGTATATTTTAAGTTTTCAAAAGTTGATAATTTGTAATATAAAACAGCCTGGAAGAATGCAAAACCAACAAACAAAACCCCACCTGATCAGAAATTACAAGGCAATTGAGGTTCATATTTCTAGGAAAAAGATCTAAATGCACAATATTTCGTGTTGCTAATAAATCTGTTGCATGTTTACCTAAAGTTTCATTGTTGTAGTTGCATTTATTAACTAGGAGAGAGAAAGCACTTTCATGGTGGTTGTGTTTAAATAAAAGCATTCATGATTTACAACAAACACTTGTGAGGTTTGTAGCATTGGATAGATTGGAGTATGTAACTTAGTAATCACCTTCACCTATTTAATTCTCATTCTTAAGAATTCAAGATAGAATATGACTACCTAGGCTGCACATCATTGTTTGTGTTCTGTAGGTGGCATTTTTTTCACCAAATCGTTCAATCTTTGGAGAATGGGAACATATTCTGAGGATAAATGTATTACTGTTTTTAAGCCATCTTCTCTTATTTTAAAATATTCATTTACTTATTAATTGCGAGCTTACAATACATATGTATCCCTGTACATGTGTTAACTGTCTACATACACATACGCACACTTGTACAACATATATATATTTTTTTAAATCATGGCAGGTGATCTTTAGAGGCGGGACTGAGTATGGATCATTTGAACGAGGCAACTCAGGGGAAAGAACATTCAGAAATGTCTAACAATGTAAGCGATCCGAAGGGTCCACCAGCCAAAATTGCGCGCTTGGAACAGAATGGGAGCCCATTAGGAAGAGGAAGACTTGGAAGTACAGGAACTAAAATGCAAGGAGTGCCTTTAAAACACTCTGGACACCTGATGAAAACAAATATTAGAAAAGGTAACACTTTTAATAATTCTGCATCGGAGAAATATTAATTATATTAATATATGCATTGCCATTTAGGTCGGGAAACATACTTTTCACAGACTTCATTTATATTTCAGTGCTGAATCACCATTCTAAAAATATTTTATTCCCATTTCTGATGTACATCACATTTGGGAAATGTATGCTTCATGTTTGGGTGGAGCATCTTGCTTTCCAGGGTGGAGTCTTATTTTTGTTAAGGTAAAGACTGTCTTAATTTTAGTTGTCCTCATTAGACCAGATTCTTCACTGAAAGACAGTTAATGTAATAAACTCTCTGATTAGTTTGTTTTGCGAAGCAGCACTGAAATATGTAGAAAGGTACACAAAATCCTAAAAACCTAATTCTTGCCTTTGCTCTTAGTGATAATCCAAGCTTGGAAAAGTCAACAGGATTTCATTAACAGTTGCAAGTTGTTTGAAGAAAGTTTTTAAATCTTTAGGTATCACACTGGAAAAGTCATTTATGATGTCAATCTTTACAGTTTATTTTCTTAAGTACAATTCATTATTGAACAATGAACATCTTGGGCATCATATTTTTTTAGTGGCTGGTTTGCTGTAATTAGGCATTCTCACAAGGAAAAGGCACATTTAGAATCCTTGATTGGGGGGTGTGTGGCTTTTGTTTGTATTAAAATACTTCAAAATTCACCATAATATATTAATCTTGTATATCAAAATATATCTTTTTGACTGTGTACTACAGACTTGCTAATTTAAATCAAAACATGCTGTATGTGTTTGGCATTTGTTTTAAAATTACCTCTACTTTTTCTCAGTATAATTGCTATATGTTTATAATTCAGATTTTTCCTGCATTTGCTAAGCAAAGTGTAAAATGCAGCCAACACCATTAAACACGTAATGTTAGAAGGCAGTGGAATTTCATTGTGTCTGATGCGTAACATTTATCATACAATCATTTATTTTTTCCTCGGTTTGGCGAAAACAAAGAATATATTGATCCTGAAATGAACAGACACAGCAGTCCGTATTGTTAGATCTTTATCTATTAAAATGGAAAAACAGCACTTCAGCAAATTCTTTGGCCTCTGCTCATGATTACCCTATTTATTGATTGTTTGCCAAGAATGTATGCATCTTAAGAAAGCCAGGGTAAGAGCATTAAAAATATAATTTATTATGGCTTTTCAAACAGAGTGCATTAATATTGTACTGTGAAGCACTGGGGCTATATAAAAAGGACTTTCTGACGCCTGCAAACATATAAGTTCCATAAATTCCTAAATAGGAGATTTCAGCTGTCTCTGGTATTATGTGATATTTGCACAGCAAACTTTAATGCCAGGACAGTTTTAGACAAGGATTCTACAGACTTCACTGCTCCTTATGGCAGACGTGCTGTTTACATAGACTCATAAACCTTCAGCAAAAGCTCTAACGCTGCCTTCAGGTCTAAATCATGTTGTTTTTTTAGCACTGACCAGTGCTCTCCCCTTTAATATTAGAAGGTTATAAAGTTGCTGCACTTGAATTTCTTGCCAAATACTAGCAAGAGTGATCAGCCAGCTAAGATTGTGCTCTTCTGCATAATGTTTTTCAATTAGCAGAAGGACATAAGTGACAGTCGCTAGAAGGTTTAGCAGCTTGATTTGTATTCAGATGATACCTGTGTCACACTACCAGGATACACCTTTGATATCTACAACTTGCATCGAAATCTGGTCAAGAGGTCCTACTGTTTTGTTTCAAGTAGCACATTTTTAGGAGTGCTGTAACTTATGGGACATTTGTACATAAAATGAAATATCAGTGCATGTGTGTTTATAGTCTAATTTTTGTAGCCTACTGGAGGTAGGGGGGAGGGGGGAAATTAAGAAACCAAATGCAGTATTTCACTCCCTGCCTTTGTTGTTTTTGAAACAGAGTTATGTATTTCACATGAAAATAAAGCTTGATGTAGATTTTGCCTTCAGATATTTAACAGTGAAACTTTCTATCAGGTCAAACTTGAACTGTGAGAGCTGGGGAAAACCCACTCCCAAGTGAAGTTTGTGTGGGGTTTTTCTGTTTTTGGAAATCTCTCTCTCTCTCTCCAAAGTGCAATTAAAACCAGTGAAGAAATTGCCAGTTTACATATGCTATTTTTGCTCTGGTCTTCCTGACTTGTCCTATTCTGTGATTTAAAAACAAGAACAGAACCCCTCCTCCCCTCCCCCAACTACATAAATATTGGCAAGCATTTTGTCTTGTCTTTCATGCTGAGCCTATTGGGCAAACCGGACTGAGTTTGTGAGCTTTTCCAAATGAGCCTGAAGGGATTTGTTTCCCAGAGACTGACTCTCTGGTGAACAGCTTATTGCAGATGTGTGTGTGTGTGTGTAATACCTTTTAAGCATATTATCTTTTTATTATAATCTTTTGTTACAGAGAGGAGTACAAATGAACAAAGGGGTTTTAAAGCATATATCATCAGCAATACATTATTTTTTCAATTATAGTATCTTTTATACACCTTTGCAGGTTAGAAAGCCAGCTGACATGGGCCAGCCGTGGTTGTTTAATTGCAGTGTAGACATACCCTATAAGTCTAGAGGGCAGTGCTCACAGAGGCATTAACATTGCAGGACTAATTGGAGATCCTGGGTGCCCTGTTAAAGTAACCCTTGTCATCATTTATACTAAAAATGATACCCTGCTGGCAATCTGCCATAAGCCAGTTCTTGTGCATCTGCTTTTTAACCCTTTTGCTTCCTGTCATTAAGGAGCCTGATTCTGCACGTCTCAAGCCAATGGGAATTTTGCTATTGACTTCACTAAGAACAGGATTGGGGCTGCAGTTCCAAGGTCTTTTTGTAGTACCCTGCTATTTTGTATAAAATAAATACAGTTTTAAAGAAATCCACAATTCTGACTTCCAGAAGAATGCTTCTTCCCAGCAGTAAGTGTTGCTGGGCTCTCTGTTAATCTTCTGGTCATGGTCTAGTAGATTGCACTGAATTAAGCAAAAGATGTGGGGAAACATTTTGTCTTCAAACCCCCCTCCCCCCCCAAAAAAAAAATTAGTAACAAAAACAAGAAAATGACTTTTGGGCATACAAATGATATCTACAGTAAGTGTAGAAATATATGGTGTGAAGTAGCAAAATACATATGACAAAAAATGTGTCAACTGCAGGTAAATTTAAAACTGGATTAAAATTATTATTACTGTTTCTTAAAGATACAAGTCTTGGAATTGCAGTTTAGTAGTGGTCTGGTTACATCCAGAAAATGAATACAGCATCAGTTAGCAGTAAGTTTTGCTTTGTTTTCTTGTACAGTTTATTAGCATGGAGGTTTAACAAAAGACCAAAGGTGAAATTTTTAAATCAAAGGTAGTTGAATATTTTTGGCACAATTAGGAAAGTTTTAACGTTAATGAACAACATTATGTAGATGCCATTAAAATGGCTTACTCTGAAGACATCTGCAGTATGTATTTAGGTTCTCACGCTGCATGCTACTCACAACATTTCAGACAGGACAGAGACAACCAACTTACTTCTCTCCTGTCAGCCTTATTATTTATTTCTGCAGGCAGGTAATTCTCTGTTCTGTAGCAGATGAAGTAGTAGTAGGGTTATATTTGCATTCATACCTTTTATGGAAATATTTATTTTAAATAACTCTTTTTTTGTGTGGGGAGGGAGTGGTGTTTTTCATAAATACAGAATACCCCTAGATATTCATCTGCCAGTTTATAAGGCTTTTAGCCATGTAACGCTGTAGATTTCTTCCTTATCCCTACAATAACACCAGTTAATACTGTATATTTTACTTTTTTTAATAGGAACTATGCTTCCAGTTTTTTGTGTAGTAGAACATTATGAAAATTCCATTGAGTATGACTGTAAGGAGGAGCATGCAGAATTTGTGTTGGTAAGGAAGGACATGCTATTCAACCAACTGATTGAAATGGCATTGCTATCACTTGGATATTCTCATAGCTCTGCTGCCCAAGCGAAAGGTAAATATGATTGCTAAACTGTACTGTTTACTTTATGGGGGAAACTGTAGAAAATTTTTCAGGAATGCAGTGCAATTATTATTGTTTCTTTTTAAATTTTTGCTTAATGTATTTTTATTTAGTTAGCATATGCTTTGCTCATGGAATGTTGAGGTAGATTATAATTTTAAAAAAATGACTTCAACTGAATCATTAGTATGCTTATTGACCTTAATAATCTGCTCCACTGAGGATCCACAAGGAAGTGTAAAGCATATTTGAGCAGATGGACTGTTGAGAGTCAACTTGCGTTTATGACTAAATATCTAGCTCTGTTTCTTTTATTCTGTTACTGATGGGTTTTGTGGATTGTGAAGTATTTTTAGTACTGAGGTCTTGCATTATAAAATCCTATATAATGTGTATGAATGATTGATTGTCTTATTGAACTCTGAGAAACTTGAGAGTATATTCGGAAGGTATTTTTAATCATTTACTGTAATGCATTTACATAATTTCATAGCATGGAGAGCTAACTTGCAGGGTTTTTTTGTGCTGGTCTTCAAATAAATGAGCATGGAATCCAGGACAGTGGCACTGCTTAAAATCACAGGTATTTTTCAAAGCCTTGTAAGGTGCATTTATTAAATAATTTCTCTGTCTGGCACAGGGCTAATCCAGGTTGGGAAGTGGAATCCAGTTCCACTCTCCTATGTGACAGATGCCCCTGATGCTACAGTAGCAGACATGCTGCAAGATGTGTATCATGTGGTCACACTGAAAATCCAGTTACACAGGTGAGTCACACATACCAGTCCTAGGACATGGACTGCTATTTGTCCACTGTTAGGGTTAATATAGCTTGTATTTGATTCCCACTGTGCTGTGTGCTCAAAGTTTAAAAGCTTATCTGCATTCCTTTTTGGTGGTTATAATTTTAAGTTACAGCATGCTGTTGTAGAAAACTTTCATGCGTATAGCTCTGATACACATTTCTCTGGATATCTCATTAAAAGTATATTGCATTTTAGTCAATTAAATGATGCATTACAAGAAGGCATTTTACATAAAGTTTACTTAAGAGAAAAATATTTTTGCATATCATGAACAGTACCATCTGTGTGCATTTTGTAAAAGAATGACTTGCTCACACTTATTGTTGCTGTCTAGGTTCTTAAATTTCACAGTAACAAAAAAAGAAAAAAATGGTTGGTTAATATATTAATGCTTTTCATGATCAGTTGTGAGAAAGCATTACACCTTAAATTGTTTTACCAAGCGCATCAGAGCAGGAAGGTAGAAGTAACATGAAAAAATAGTCGCCACATGCAGCTGATGTATAATTCATGCATCAATACAGCAGATGTGTTGTATAAAGTAATTAACTAATCGGAACAATCAGGAGACCGAGAGCAATCTCCAGATGCATCTGCTTGATGCGCAAAATGAAATCTGTCTGTCTTAAAGGAATGTTCTGCAGCAGGATGCAATCTTGTAATAATCCCTTTTCTAATCTATGTCTCAAATAGTTGCCCTAAACTAGAAGACTTGCCTCCTGAACAGTGGTCTCACACAACAGTAAGAAATGCTCTCAAGGACTTACTGAAGGATATGAACCAGAGTTCATTGGCCAAGGAATGTCCCCTTTCACAGGTACTTAGCATAACATGTAACAAATAATGAAGCACTGTAGGCGACACTGATGTGAGATTAGAGATTTCTATAGACTGTAGCAAGTAGTATCTGAAGTGAATCTGCCAAAAATACACATTCATTTCACCAATTTGTGATCTTTTTAAATATGCTTGATTCATTTCAGATATAGTCTTACAGTATTTGCCCTTGGGGAAAATGTGAAAGGCAGTTTACACTGCACTAGGTGCACTAGAACTGTCTCATACCAAACTGGATTTTTACTGGTTTTTGTCTTCAGGCTTTGAACTGCTTTCATGTAACTACTTTTTTCAAGCACGTGTTGAAGTTATTAAAAGGCTCTTTACTTACTGCTGTCAAAAGTACTACGGAAATTGAATGCTTGTTGCATAACCCACACCAGTTTTAAATGCTAATTCATAAAACTAGACAGTCTATTTACCGTACTGAATGAGTGGAGGGGAAAAAAAGAATGAAGCTCCTTAGATGATGTGTTGTCATTACAAACAACCAAAAGAAAATCAGTCCTTTATTAGAACTAACCAAAATACATCTAACAAGGATGAAATCGTATATTACCCATTGCTAAACACTGAACTGCTTCTTACCATGAGGCTGCTTTACGTTGTTCTTTTGTCATTGATTTAAATTGTCTTGAAGGAGAATTTATTTTTCTTTACTGTATTGTGCCCAGTGATGATGAGGTAGGAACAACGGATTTATTTCTCCCTTCAGATTTTTCAAATGTATTTTGCTGTGCTGAAGTTGACTTCAGACAGAAATTCTGTTTATAAATCAGTGATACTGGTCATGGTGGGGGAGAAAGGAAGTCAGATTATTTTAAAAAGTATTTACTTCCCTTTCTCACAATACTGGAGTCTTTCAGAAGCAGGGCCCTTAGTTTATTTAGACAGGATATTATATATCTGCTAGATATACATATTAGCTAAGACTGTTTTCCCATCACTATTTTTCCTGTGGTTAGATTGTCTTCAATGATATGGTTCTGATACAGGAATTTTCAGAGTGGAAATAATCAAAATTATCTTCACTGGTTGCAAACCATTCTAGTAATATGTTTGCAAAATTATCTTGTTCATACCTACTGTACAAGCATGCGCGTTCTTGCACTGACGGGTCATGGAGACTGCAGATAATTTAGGATTCGCTCCACTTTGGTTCACCAGCTTTATTTTTTTATTTGATACCGATAGAAAGCAAGTAAATTGTCTGGAGACAAGATTTAATTTACATTTTGGCATATTGTCTTGTTGCAACTTGTCCACATATGTACATATGATGCAACAATATAATGTAGAGTAAAGCAGACTTAGAAAGGAATATCTTTAGATTCAACATTAACATTTTGGTGGAAAACTGTATAGAAATACTTCCTTCAACTAAATAATGTAGCAAATTCAGTGTCCCTGAGTAACAGTGATTTAAAGGGATAATGCCATGTAAAACAAATCCTATTTAAAATATAAGTCCACAACAATAACAGTTGGAATTATTAAAACAAAGAATTGCAAAACCTTAACTTTCCTTATGATCTTTTAATGTTTGCGTTTCTTTCAGCTTGGGGAAAGAGATGTCTGCTAGTTTTGTTTTATAGCAGATTTTATTTCATTACCTCTTGCTCTAGCTCAGTGGTGCAATGTTTGGGTTGCAAAGATTGAAAACAATCCGTTTTTTTTATTCCATTATAAAGTTTAAAAAATATGAATCTGGAAAAAAATCAGCTTTAATGGAGTTCGGATCTGCGCTTTTAAAATTCCATGTGAATCTTTCCATTCCTTTGAGTAAGCTTTGGATCATGTTTCAGAGGAACAGCCGTGTTAGTCTGTATTCGCAAAAAGAAAAGGAGTACTTGTGGCACCTTAGAGACTAACCAATTTATTTGAGCATAATGCTCAAATAAATTGGTTAGTCTCTAAGGTGCCACAAGTACTCCTTTTCTCTTTGGATCATGGTATCTAAAAACTTTGACCTGCCCATCTCTCCTTAAATTATCAAAAAATGGTTTAAATGTTCAGACAGATATAATTAATTGTATATTACTCTCATGTGGGAGACACTGGTTTATGAGCAATATTGGGACATTAACTGTGTTTCTTAAATTAATTGGGAGTGCTCTGAAACAGATGCATTTGCAGTCTAGAGATCAGAAATAAGAGTGCGTTAAAAAGCTTAGAGACATCCTCTCTCCTGGGATCAGCTAGATATAGACACCTAACTATAACTTCTTAACACAGTCATCTAGTTTATTAAAAACAGAAAAATAACCCAAGGATAGTCAGATTTTTGTCTGTCAAACTATCCTTACCAATACCCTTTTTGCATCGGTATGGAAGAGTTTTTCATACGGTATGTAAAGTGGTTTTGTGTATGTGCAGCATTGCCAATGTATCGTTTGAGTGGAAAGCTAGAAAGAGTGATGTCCCTAACTAAAACTTGTTTACTTCAGTCAGTTGATCATGAGTGTTTGCATATAATTTCATTCAGAATACTAACAGTTCTCTGCTGCAAAAGCAAACCAACTATATTTTGTAGGAAAATGTTGATGTAGTTATGGACTGTTGATGATCTGTAGGCAAATGTAAACTGTATTTGTGAAGCAGTTTGACCCTAAATTATTAGGCTCTATTTCTTGACTCTCTTCCTCCTCCTTTTACTATCTTTTTTTTCTATTTTGCCATTGATTTTCTTGATCATTTGCTACAATTGGTGTCTCAGGGCATCTAGGTATAACGTGTTGTCTTCTTGCTTCTTCATACCTTCCTCCTGCATTTCTCTAGCAAAACGCCATTGTAACACTGCTGTTTTAGTGAAAAGGGTGGAATGCATCTCTCTTCCAAGGTTACTGTAACTGTCTTGTTTTTGAGAATGTTGTGCCTTACTCCTGTTTTTCCCCACTTCCCTAAGGCCAAGTTTCACTTACTGTGCTGGCCTTGATTGTAAGGAATTTTCATTGACATAAATCACGTCCTGTGGGTGGTTTGGAGCTAGTATGTGAGCCTAAATTACCATTCAATTAAAAACGTAAGAGTTCAGAGATTGTTCTCAAATTCTGGCCTCAAGCAGGCAAGCGGAAAGAATAGCTACTAATTTCAGATGGTGAATTGCAAGCCACTGGATGTTTGCGTGCTGTTCCCTAGGTTAGTGAATGTCACTATCCTAGACTATCCAGAGTTGTAGCTGTGTTGATCCCAAGATGTTAAAAAGGCAAGGTGGATGAGAACTTTTTTTTTTTTTTTTTTTTTTTTTGGGGACCAGCTTTTGTTGGTGAGACAGACAAGCTTGAAGAGTCTTTCACCAACAAAGGCTGGTCCAGTTAAAGATGTTAGCTCAGTCACCTCATCTCTCTAATGACCACAGACTAGCAGAATATGTAGATGCTATGCAAGAAACTTTTCATGTTTGACTTACCAGGCTTTCATAACTTTTTCACTCGCCACCCCCGTTTTCTTTCTCATATAAGCTGATCTATTAGAGTGGTGACATGGGCTAGTGGCCTGAGTCTAGATCTGGGAAACAGGAACTCCTGAGTTCTCTCAATAGTTTTGCGACTCTCATTGTGTGGTGTTGGGTATTTGAGCATGTCACTTACATTTAGTTTAGTTTTCCTTTTGTGTGATGGGGATAATTAATTTCCTACCCAATAGAGGTGTTTATAGCGATTAGTATTTGAACATGACTTTGAAAATGTTTCTGTACAAAGCACCCACCCATAGCAGCAATGGCTATGTGACAAAGGACATTTTGTCATGCACCCCAATCACCTTACCTGAGCCCTGCCAACTAATCAGTTTCCTCTGGGACTACTACTAGCATTTTAAACCTCTGAAACTATTCAAACAGTCACCAACCGTTGCCCTTTTGAATTATGTTGTTATATCAACCAGCTATAGAAATAGTTAGGGAAAAGAGAGAGTGCTTCTGTTTTTTCCAAACATGGAATTGTCTTCTCTGTTTCCCAGACCTTCAGATTACACGGGCCTACAGATCAGGATAGGCAATATCCAGTCCTGGTATCCATGTTAGATTTAAGGCCTGATATCTCACAGCCTTTCAGGTTTTTAATAAAGGAGCTTTATATCATTAGAAAAAGGGAATTACCAGTTTTGCAGTGAACAAGCTGCACTTGCTTCTAGCTTTGGAAGCATCTGGGATCTCTTCATGTGTCATGATATTTTTATACATGGTAATATTATTTAGGACATGTATTGTTTACATGGGTTTTTGTTTTTTTTTTTTCTTTTTCTTTTTTTCACAGAAACCTTTCTAGTTTCTCTCCTGGAACTGAGACTGACTGACTTTTTAGGTGCAAGGAAACAAAAACAAACAAAAAGGAAAAACAAACCCACACAAATTTGGAAGCATTTCCAAAGTTGTATTTTTGTAAAATATGTGGCATATGCAGAATGGTACAAAGGGTTTTAATAGCTTCACTACTGGGATTAATGCAGTTGTCCCAAATGCATTTTGATCAAACCTTTCTACTATATCACTGTCCTGTATTGTGCCTATACATATTGTATATACTTTACACAAACATAATATGTGTATATAAAAACACATTTCCCTTTTGTTCAAATATCAGGCCCAGTACCTGCAAACTGTTCCACGTGGGCAGACCCCTGTGTCCATGCAGGGTTAGCAGGGCTTGGCACAGGTGCCAAGCTCTGCTTACCCAGATCATTTTGCAGGATCTGGGACTGCAATGACTAGGAAATGCATTAAATAGTCTTTTCTTAGATTAGCAAATGCCTCACATCTTGCCCACTTCAGAACTCTGATTTTCCACGAAGTATCAGTGTATTATTGTGCTGCCTCCTTCATGTTGTTCTCAACCCAAATATATATAGTATGGCAAAATGTTTACAGTTTGTTACTTTTGGGGAGAAATGATTGCACTGAGTTGTAATCAGACCTTAGAAGTTCTCTGGTCAACGTTCTTTTGTGGTTTTCTGGATGACTTCACCCTCAATCTCAATGCC